TGCAAGGCCAAGGCCAAGGCCATCCCCAAGAGAAAGGCAAGAGCAAGTCCAAAGCGAAAGGCTGTGAAGAAGGATGATCCAGAAGAAGAGAATCAGGAGGAGGAGGATGAGGAGGAGGATCATCACGAGGAGGAGGAGGAGGAGGAGGAGTGTGAGGATGAGGGCCATGGTGAGAAGTCTGCACCGCCAGAGCCCAAGAGGAAGGTGAGGAAGCCTCGGGCCAAGAAGGAAATTCCTGAGAAGAAGGTGGAGGATGCCTTGAAGCGAAAGCGAGGGCAGAAGGCTGAAGCCAACAAGAAGGCACCTGACAATGATGATGCACCCCGAAAAGAGGTCAAGAAGCCGAGGCGGGATCAGAGGGCGGAGGTCAAGGAGGGATCTATGAGTGAGAGTGAGGGGGCTGGAAAGCCCAAAAGCCCACAGGCCAGTGAGCCGGCGCAGAAGAAGCGTCGTGAGTCTTCTTCCTTTGCCCGCAGGTCATGCCCAAAGACTTCTCCAGCCAAGGACAGGTGGGCTGCAATCCAAGCGACTTTCAAGACCCACATTGGCCCGAAGCTCGTGGACATGGGACAATCCATCAACCGATGGGAGGACAGGGTTCACATTTTTTGCGGCTCTTAAATTTCCATTGTATGGCCCACCCAACCAGGAGAGGTTGAAGGGCTTAAAAACGAAAGGTGTCACAAGGATCCTTGTGACACCTTTCGTTTTTAAGTCCTTTCAACCTCTCCTGGAACAACTCCCACCTTCAGTTCAAGTTTGAATTAAACCACTTTCAAAATTTCATGGCATGGGTTGAGGGAATGGCAACAACCGTGCAGGAACCTTGGTGGAGCACGGTCATCAAGGTCTTCAACCAAAACCGGTCCATCGAAGATGTTGCCCAGTACAAGAAGCTGGCTCTGACTTGTGTTCCCAACTTTTTGAAGCTTGTAGGGGAAAGCTAGGTCGCAGTGACTTATTCACGCTTTTGTGTGTGTGTGTGGTAGTGAGCAGTCTGCCACTATTCGATATGGGCTGTGTGCACCTAAGGGCACGCATTTGGGGTATCACGAGCACATGGCTCGTGCGTCATAGAAGCTGACATTGGTCAACGATGGAAAACATTCCTTATTCCTGTCCTGTCTGCTCGTGATTTGATTCATGTTATTTGGGCTCGTGCATCATAGAAGCCGCCATTGGTCAACAGCTGAAACCATTGGGTCAGTGGTGCATGCATATATTGCTGAAGCCTACCCCTTTCACCTTTGCCAGGTTTAGATGTACGGCCTCCATCGTGGACAAATTGGCTTGGCAAAGTTTGGGGAAGGCTCACGCGCTTCTACCTCGGAGGGTTTTCCCGGCCTATTTTGCTAGTGTGTGTGTGTCTCACAAGCATGCATTGCTGCAAGCATGAATTGGAACAATTCTAGCTTTACGCTGTACAATGAACAGCCGTGAGTTGGATCACCCGTGCCAAGCGGTCGGTAGTAGCAATGGGGCCGACAGAACTGGATGTCTTCTTTCGACGCATGTTCAGTCTTCGTGTGCCCAAAGTACCATGTCCACATTTCAGCTGTTGCATGTGTATAAATCAGTCATTTTCTTAACAGAGTGGGCCACAAACATGGTGCTACAAACACCCGTTGCCGGCCTCAGGTGATCATCCTCCTGACTCTGCTCGTGTCGTGGATGCCTGATCAGGGCGATGTCAAGACTGAGATCCAGGTGATAGAATACTTTGCAGGAGTTGGCCGCATAGCTCGGATGGCCCATGCTGTTGGCCTACAGTCTACAGCTGTGGATTTAGAGTATGGAGGAGAAAGCAAGGGTTTCCGGAAGACGCAATTCAATGGATTTGAACTCAAACGCGGGCCTTGTCCTTGCTATCAAACTGATCTTGAGGGCCAAGTTCAATGACCTTGTAGCAGTGTTTGCTATGTGCTGCTCTTCCTTCGTTCCAGTAAATCGTGGAACTGGTTCCCGGGATCTACTTGTTCCAGAGGGAGATGAAAACGTGGTTTCTGTGAGACGATCGAACAAGCTCCTTTCACGGAACCTCGGACACTAACCTGTCCATCGATGTCTTGTGACCCCACCCCACCACATCCGGCCTGCTCTTGTTTGGATTCCTCCCAGGACAGTGATCTTGATGGTCCTTGCTATCTGCGCCGGAGGCACGATTATCATGGAGAACCCGCAAAACTCATTGGTAACAATGCAGGGCAGATTTGCTTGGCTTGTGGAACTGCTTTCAGGGCAGAACATTTCTGCACCTTGGTTTCATGAACTATCTGCATCATGCAAAACCAACAGTTTGCATGTATACTAGCTATGCAATAGAATTCATTCCAATCCAAGCGGTGACTCCCAGTCAGCTAAGATGTACAAGATTCAGTTTTGGATGAGAAAGCATTTGGCGCTGACATGGAAGAGGACATGGGTTTGGTCCTCTTCCCGGCGCATCAGGGCTTTGGATCTAGGACCAATGACAGCCTCAGAGCGAAGCTGTTCGGTGCAAACTACAAAGCGCTACAAGAAAGAGGGGAAGCAAAAATGGCACGGGACGAAAGCTCTCAAGCAAACACAGTCTACTGTCATTGAGCAGTCCATTTTCTTCATTCTTCTTCTTCTACTATAAGTTTTCTTTTGCCCTCATGCTGTTTGTTCCAACCATTTGCTCAGGGAGTATACTTATCGATATGCTCGGAACATCGTGCAGCTCTTCCCCGACATGGTCGCAGACAAACCCTTTGAGTTACTGCCACCCGTACCCTTGTCATTTACATGTTAAACCCATGGGCCTGCCATATAGTGCTTGACAAGCAACACCCACTGCAGGTAGACATGGACAAGAGCCTCTTAGACCTTTTCATGGAGGCCAATTATGATGAATTTTGGGATGAATCGAGTGATCTGAGGGATGCGCTGCTTTACTGTAGAGGTAGTTCAAGAATTTGTATTCCTCATGAGTGGCGGGCGGCCCTACCCACGCATCTTTAAGGTGGATGCCTGAGGTCTGCGCGCGTCACTGAGGCAAAGGCTGCTGCAGCTTTGATCCTCGAAGCGGGCCGGTTATAAGTTGATCGATGATTGTGAGATCCATAATTCATGAGTTCCATGACAAACCACAATTCTCATGAAGTTCATGATGAACAACATTCGTCATGAAGTTCATGACGAATCACCATTCTTAGCTCAGTTCATGAGAAGTTCATGCATTGCATGACGAATATCTGCAATTTCTTCGATTTTGCAGAGGCGTCTTTTCGCGTCCTAGCGGCGTCTTTGCATGGGTTAGAGGCGTCTTTTCCCGTCCAGCCGTTTTCTAGAGGTAGGACACATGCACCTTACATTCCAATCTCGCGTGTTCAGCAGCACTACACTCATGGATGGTGAAGAGCTGCTGTCAGCACAAGACTTGGATGGCCTGGGAGACATTGAACTAGAGACTGAACTTCGCAGGTTAAAGGACTGGACAACATGGATTTTGAGTAGCTTCCCATTTGGCATTGTTCATGGATTGAGGTGTCTGCAAGCAAGTTTTCTTCAACCCCAAGTAGAAAAAATGCCAGTTCCGATTCCCATGGACAAACAATGACTGGCTTGTATTGCAGGAGCTACGGGATTCAACAACTATTCCGAATGCACCAATTCCAACGCCTTGCCGTGCACCCGATACAGCCACATAGTTGCAACTGCATGTTATTGCTATATGCCATATGTTACATGGTTGCTGTTGAAATACACTGAGGTTGATGGCAATGGAACGCCTTCTGGCAGTTTGCCACATGCCTGTGTTCCCGCATCGCCAGTGACCCCACAGATTTTGCCCCGCACTCTGTCCTATGCAAATGTCGCTTCCACTCCTGCAGATCCGGCAGGTCCACAGTCACAGACTGATATCTCTACACAGGCGCTTAGAAAACGGGTTGAGCGCTTGATGAAGCCAAAGGCCAGGGGTGGTCTGAAGGTCCCTCCTGAACTGATAAAGGAATGGGAAACTGGGGACCAGAACAAGCTGTTGGACGACTTCAAAAAAGCTGGACTGGACAAGGACAGACTCAAGAAAAAGTGCATATAATGTGGTGTTTGCAATCAGTGCTGAACTTTGCAGCAGCTTACCATAGGACCTATTCATCAAGAAAGCTACTCGGAGAATCCATGAACACATCGAAGAGAATGACTTGTGGGTGGATGGGGAGTTCATGTCAGAGCAACAGATGAAAGATGAAGGCTTCCCTGAGTACCCTGGTCCACAACAAACACAAAAGCTTCTCTGGTTTGTGCTGCTTGCTTTTTTTGGATGCCTTGTTTTTCTGGTGGGTCACACGACTGTGAGGCATCGTATCAATGAGATCAAAGCCAAATGTCAATCCAATAAGGGATGGGTTCGGCCCCTTGCTTAGCTTCATGTTGTGCACCAGTTTGGCAAAGAGATCATGTTGGATTTGCTCCTGCGATTACTTGTGTTTCCCCAACCACTTAGGAAACACTAAAAGCATGAATGAACTACATTTCAAACCTGAATTGCTCACTCATGCAACTTATGGATATGATGCTACGTGAGGCGAGACACGTACGAGAAGAACAAGTTGGTCTACTGGTATGAAGGAAACCTGAAAGGCCGAAAAATGATCCTTGTACTGGGATTAAACAAGCTAGTGCAATGTCTTTGACTCGGCCCCTTCTTCCTATACCATTAGGGTTTGCGGTCCGTATCGTGTTTGCCACAGCCAAGGAAGCGGAAGCGCACGACCACCACTGCAGAGTCCTCCGATGTCTCTGATGCTGACCCGCTGGATGTAGAACCTGGTTCTGAGTGGGGCATGAAGGAAATGGTTGAAACACCAGGCTCGTGTGTATGAGATATGTATTATATATGTTCTTTACTGCTACTGTTTCTGAACCAGTTGCATTCCTGATCTTTAATCCCCTGGCTAGATGATCGGGCTCTCACAGAGAAGGCTGAAAACTTGGCAGAAGAAAGCAAGGCCTTGAAAACGATCAGCTTTCCAGAGATGGATAGTGATGGCCTTCCATCTAGCTATGTTTGCAAAGTCCTTGCTTGTTTGGGCAAGTGGCAAACAAAGCTCATCGGTTTGGCTGAACCGCTTGATAGCAGGGATCCATCTTTGAAGCCGTTCCTCAGCTGATGCTTGCATGAGTGCCTGCACCCCTCTATTAAAGAAGGGCCCTTCTAGAGCCGCCCCACTGAGGCTGATCACTAAGGCAGATGATGTTGGCAAGTCGCTGGATTCATGTGCTGATCGAATCTCAGAAGTGAGTTCTGTGGGGATTGCCTCTGGCTACACGCATGTGTCCCTTGGCTACATGTGGAGTTGGTCTAAGGGGGTCACAGCTATCACAATGTTATAAAACCAAATCGAGCTTACCCACCGAGTGCCACCAGAGTACTCACTTTGTTTTGTCCATTCTTCTGAAACATTGAGACGGGTTATGTGTGTAAGCAACGCCAATCCCCTTTCTCTTAAAATTGATAGCCTTTCTTTCCAAGCATCCGTATCCGAATCCTTATATGGAAAATTACACAAGTGGTCATTTGGTCACTTGATCTCTTTCAAGCTGGCTGGCCTCCAATAGCAAAAAGCACATACATGTCACATCAATGAGTATTCTAAGTTTGCTTCTGAAGCTTCTTCTCAACTCTGGTTGAACTGACAAGGCTTTAAATTGAAGGGGTGCCAAATGACCTAGCATATAGGATTTGAATCGGATTACTACTCTCCACGTGCCAACACCTGCCATTGAACAGTTTCTTCATTAGCCCCGTCAACACTTGAGGCAACAAGATGAACTCAAGAACATCTACATGGATTGCAAGAAAGGGCGCCGTGGCATCATTAGTTTGCTAGTTGAAGGTTGCCAACACCATGGCCGCAGTATGAGCTATGAGCAGTGTGTAACCTAAGCATGTCAAAGGCTACTTTGAACCCGACCCTGGCCCTACCCTTGAAGTTCTCGCGGCCAAGCCGGACCCAGGTGCCGAGAGGCATTGAACTTGATGAGCAGGGCCCAGCCTCGTGGCGCTGGGTTGGGTGTTTGGTTTTTGAAAAGGTTTTCAATGTGGATTCCTTCGTGTAATGCTACCACTGATTGAGCTCCATATTTCACGGAGGTTTGGTTTGAAAGGGTTCCAGCAACTGGCGTTGCCAACTTCCAAGGCCATTGGTGCGTTTCATGAAGCAACAGTCAGCCAAAGCCGCCAAGGAAGCGGACAAATCTAGAGTGAAAGTTGAGAAATAGTTGACTTATATTTCTTTGGGGGTTTGCATGTTGGAGTGGTTTGGTCTGGAAACTGAAAAACCTTCCGTGCGACAGTCTTACAAGGTGTTTCTGGTGTTGGGATCAACAGTCTTACCAGGTGTATATGGTGTTGGGATTCAGTCCAGCTCCTTCATGCTGATGGGTGTTAAATTCCCATCAATTTAGAAAGTCAATGGGGTTCAGTGCGTCGGGGAGCATGATCAGTGCTCTGAGTTTCATGCGCAGCAAGCTAAGCGCTTGTGAATGCATAATTGTGGCCTTGGGAAAAGTACTGTGCTGATTGCGTGTGTGCCCTCCCACTAACAGGCAGGCACCACAAATACTACTGCAAAACCAATAAGCCAATAAGCAAGCTTTGTTTAATTAAGAAAGGGAGTGTCAACGTGTCGAACATGTGCTCTTGCGTGCTTGACAGTGCCCCCCGGAGCTTGGCAAACAACAAGCAGATTTGGGATTGCCAGGTCCAGTTGAGGCTGGGCCCATTCTACGTCATACCATAGAAGCTGTGGCTGATGGGGTTCCTTGGCCTCAACATCAGCCCTGACAACTGCCAAATGTCCATTTGGATTGGGTCGTGGAATCTGACCCCCCTCAAGTTCTGCTTGGCCCCTCCAAGTAGTGGGTTTTTGGCAGATAATGCAGGACTTGAGGGGGTCAGATTTCATGCCCCAAGCCAAAGTGACTGACAACTCTCCTTCCGTCAGCCTGCTTGACCTCTATATAATCACTTATAAGGGTTTCTGTGGCCAAGGCGCCAATGCGCGTGCTGGCAGAGAAGACGAAAGCATTGGCAGATGAGCACGGGAAATCCTTTGCCAAGAATTCAATGGGCTCTCTCGGGTTGAGCGTTGCCAATGTGCCTGGTAGTGAAACGGCCTCTTACAGTATGGTTTCCCATGGTTTCCCTTGTTGTTTTAAATTCGGGACTCGAGGGCGGAGGGATTTGAGGGCAGGGCTCAGTAGAGAATGCCAGTGTGTTTGGTAGCAAAATGTTTGCTAGTGTGGTTACTTGACATGGGGCCGAATAAAGGATTGCCACAAGTATACATGAGTGACTGCTTGACTTAGTATTGTTCCTACAGCTATGTATCCAATGGGGCCTGAGGCAAATCAAGCGTTCAGCCGAGTGGTATCCAAGTTTCACTTCACCCTCAAGATCCCGATTGCTACCTACGTGCATGCAGAGGGCCCGGCCACAGCTTCACTCCCGTACCACAGCCCGACACAGCTCTTGAGTGTTCTTTTGGAAAAGTACCCATGGCTGTTGATGGGTGGATGTGATCAAGAAGAGTGTTGCCGCCAGTTGCTGCTTGCATTTTGGGACTGCTATGAGCAAGAGCACCCAGAACATGAAATCTTCAAACAGAAAAACCGCGACCGGTTGGGAAAGACAATCCCCTTAACAATGCATGGGGACGGTGGCCGGACCCAGAAAAAGCAGCCCTTAGAGATTTGCAGTTTGCAGCCAGTCCTTGGGCTGAACAGCGCAAGCTGTGCAAGCGTGAGTTGCCATTGCCCAACCTCAGTGAAGCATGGCTCTGGCCAATTTGGTGACCCGCTGCGTCAATGCTTGAACAGCAAACACAACACGTACATGACTCATTTTTTGCTGTTTGCATATCCATCAAAGAGCTACAAGGATTTTGCAAATCTACTTCATGGGTTGCTTCAGTGTGTTTGTGATGACCTCGCTGAAGTTTGCAAATCCGGTATCAAAACAGCTGGTGGTCGCCACTACTACTTTGCCAGTGTAGGCTTCAAGCTGGACATGGAATGGATGGCGAAGATAGGCTCCTTAACAAGGAGCTATCAGAACGTTGGCCATGTCAACCAAATCCCTTGCTGCCACGAGTGCGATGCAGGGGCGCATAATGTGCACTTCGAGGATGTGAATCCCAATGCGCGTTGGATTGCGACAAGGTTTGCAACACTACCTTGGGTGAGATCTCCTCCGTGGTCAAAGATTCCTTTTGATTCACGCAGGCCTGCCAAATTCCTGAGACGTGACGCTTTCCATGTGTTTCGACTAGGGATCGGAAGGAACTTCCTGGCTTCGTGCATCATGTTGATGTGTTTCATGGGCTGTCCCTTGCACGGTAACTTGAAAGAGTTTTCTGTGTAATTAATATCTGTGTTTAGTCAGTTAGGTTTCTCAAACGGTCCCTCTAATGAAAGGAGCATACAGATCATACAGGTTCTTTGTATGGCCAAGCCAGCCTAGGCTTTCCAGATCCAGATGGTGGAAATAGTACAGCGGATTGTTTGAAGCGTGCCTTCGGAAACCTATCCTTGTTTTGCTTTGTTAACAAGCTACACCTAGGTGGAATCAGGGGATTCATGCCTGCCAACTTCCATGCAGAAAAGTCTGCATTCCCGTGGGTTGGGTGCAAAGGCTCCGACACCGTGGTGATTTTGAAGTGGTTGGCCTTCCTGCTCAAGCTTCACCTTCAAGAGAGCTCCTGGTCCGCGACTGACCAACAGGTCCTTGAGTGGATGTTACAAGGGGCAACATGTGCCCTCATGTTCACACAAGGAATCCATCGCCACGGTGTATGGTTGACCCGTTCATGTGCTGTGCATTTGCGGCGTGCTGTGCAAAAGTTCGGAGGAGCATACGCGCAATTGGCCCAACACAGCCTTAGTTTGGGGTATTGCTTGTTTGGCATGGTGCCCAAATTGCATGCCTATATGCACTTCCGGACGGATCTGGATGATATGCTGAAGGATGCTGAACGCAACTTTGCTCTCAACCCTGCAGTCTTTGACAATTCAATGAGTGAAGATTTCATTGGGCGTGTAGCCCGCCAATCACGTAGATTGAGTTTCAAAAACATTGAACGCACAATCCTTCAGGCTTACCAAATCAAAGCCAAGTTTTGCTTGGACAAGTTCTCAAAGAACAAGTCTCTAAGGCCAGGACGCCAGATCAAGAACAGTGGTAGCTGAGTGATCAAAAACAGCTGCAGGGCTGGGGGGCAGAGGCGTTTCTTGCAATTCGCAGGCTGAAATCTTTTGGAGGGGTTGTTTCTGCAATCCACAGCAGTAGAGGCAGAAAAAATGCAAGGAGCATGATGTAGGTAGATATGTTTTCCAAAGAAAGAGGTGCCATGATTCTCCTGTGCTTTATTTTCATGGACAATGTTTGGGTCATCTCACCAAAAACCCATGTTCATCGCATGCCGAAGGTTCTGTGGTGCATCCCAGAACCAGGGGAATAGAGCTGTGAATAGAGCTTCGCTGCTGTGCTGCGACAAAATAGCTTTGGGAATCTCCATGGCAGCAAGTGCTCGTGATCGTCGGAGAAGAGCTCTACTTTCCAACACTGTCCAGCTCTGTGGACATGCACGTTACGGTTCGCATATGGTTTGCAGGTGTTAGAGGGTGGTGTTTCAGGGCAGCGTTTTGTCATGGTTTTGGATGCATTGCTGGCATGGTTTTGGCCAAAGACTTTGGCCGTACGAGACAGCGCTGAGTATCCATGGTGCTGCAGAATCTCACCACACCTATTTGGACCCGGTGCATCCTGGATGATCAAACACCATGAGGCACCGATGACATGTTCATGACAAAAATCGGCGCATAGCGCTACTCAACGTGCATCTTCTTCGCGTTTTTGATGATCCATTTGTACAGCTTGCACCATTTTGCACCGTGGACACGGAGTGAGGATTGATTCCTTGAGACTTCAGGTAGAAAGATGAGGTTCTTGCCAACAATATATACGGTTATATGTTGAGCTAGGCACGTGCCAGGCCCGAAAAATTCGGGAAAGGCCACAAGGCCTTGATATATACCTGAAGTGTTGTCAGATCGTTTAATTCAACCTGCGGCGTTTTGCACATTTGCTCCGCGCACAGCGGTTTGGGAGAAGACGTCGTCGAAGACGGGACGGAACACACGAGACGCAGACCTGCAATGGACCACCGAACAGGACCACGAGACGACGTGGGAAGTGATGTTGAAGAGGTCCAGAGCTTGGCCATGTCCAATGTTGGGAGGGTTCCCTTCAGAATGGAATTGCCTTGGCTGTGCTTGTCAAGCCATGCGGAATGCGGATCGATCAATGTCTGACGGAACTTTCAGGCAGCTGTGGGCGGGCTGGTAGCGGTGTTCTTGGCATCAGCTAGTTCCCAGTGCAGTCTGGGGAAGAACAGTGTCAACAGAGATCAAAAGAGCGTGGAGCGGGGTGGTTTGTCTCGTATGGACTGTGATGGGAGGCTACTTATGATTTGGCATGAACAGTTGATTTGCAGCTCATGTCTTTCAACTTCAAACTGGTGACTGTGGTTTGTCTTTAAGGCTTTATGAAGGGCTTAAGTATAAGTAGCCGGGTCTCCCTTCTTCGCTAAGTGACTGATACCCACACGTAGGTGTACTAGTACAATCCTTGCTCCTAGTAGCGAACATCGTTCCTAGTAGTAAGGCCAGGAGCTACTAGTAGCGTCCTTGCTCCTAGTAGTGATGCCCTTTGCTCCTAGTAGATTCTTTCTCATTTGTTTCCAGATCAGAAACAGCTCCAGTGCGTCAGAGTCATTGTTCTTAGTTATGTATGTCGGAGGGAGGCAGGGTGAGTGCATTATATATCATTATATATGCAATGGCTCACTTCCCATGTGAACAAATCAGTATGTAGCGTTTGTGTAACTCTTCATGTGATTCTCGAAAGGCTGATCAGGGAAGTAAAGCTGCGTGTTGGAATGCGTTAGAGTTGAACATGTAGAGTCCCACTGGACAAAGGTAGAAGCAGATACACTCTGGAACATTGGTAGATCATTTTGCTGGTTAGGTTGCTGCGTTGCATTACTTCATGAATTCTGCTGATCTGAAGCCATGCAGTCAAAAAAACACATGGAAATCCAGTTGCAGCATATTACCTAAAGATTCAGAACCATATGTGGATCATGAGTGCTAATAGAGAAAAGACAAAACTCGTGCTTTCTTGATGCAGACGTAGTGTGCAACTCTGATAACCCATGAGACATAGCGAGCCAATGTGAGGCATAGATTTGTTTTGCTCGTCCAAGTCAGACAAAACGAGTCAATACACACTGAACGGCCATGTCGCTAGATGCTGCGCTTCATGCACGTTTAGCGACCTCAGCTTTGTTGTCTGGCAGTACTGGAGGCAGAAGAAGAGAAACAGAATCTGGAGTAGCCTGCACTACATCCTGTAGCACAGTGGTGAAACATTTGCAAGAACCATCCCCCAAGAAGCTTTGTTTTCAGACACATTTTGCCAAGAAAGCAACGTCTTGCACGCCGATTGAGAGGCGTCGCGCTGCTGCTGGCGGTGTGCTCCTCCGATGAGGCAAGGTCAAAGCTTCACGTGAAGACCATGGAAAACCACCTGAGGTGGGCTTTTCGAAGATCTGACAAAAGCAGGCTGGGCTGAAGTTCATCGTCTGCCCCCATTTCTTACAAGATCTGCACGACCTCTCACCCCATCTGGAAGACCGGCGGCATTCTCTCTCCTTCACTTCACCGTCTCAGAACGTGAGTAGTGGTTGATTTGGGGGGGGGCAGGTGCGGTCCGGGCCAGGCCTTGTGGAACGATGGGAGAGTGGATGATGGTGATGCAAGTCATATCCGCAAGGTGATCGACTTACCGCAAGGTGATAGTGGTGATGTTTGGTTAGAAGCTTGTGAGTTTGAATGGAAGGAGAGATGGATAGATGGATGGGTAGATGTCAGCACCATATGGAACTATCGGAAGGCTGATGGCTGGCATGCTCAGGACATTGCGGGCTGGATGTGGGTGGTGGGGCTGGGATAGATGGATTTCTTTGAGTGGGGAGATGAGGGTCTAGGCGAACATGTTTCCCGCGCGCTACACCTCGAAGTTTCAGACTAAGTCTTTTTATGCGCAAGTTTCTCTTCGTTGCAAAGTCTCGCGGTTGGAATAAATGCTAGCTTAAGAAAGAAAGACACAAATAGAGAAAGAAAAAAAGAAAGGAAGAAAGAAAGAAACACATAATGAAGAAAGAAGGAAAGAAAAAAAGACATATGTTTTCATGCCATCTTGCCATGCGTGTCGCCATTCCAAGATCCTTCCATTGGGTGCTGCCCTGGCTGCCTCGGTCCTGCTGCCCTTGGGGCGGCTCTTTGGGCTGTCAGCCGTGGTCATGCGCAGCACACGGAGGAGAGGCATCAGCCTTCGCGACTGGATCTGCAGTGGGAAAGGAAGAAAAATGAACGACATGTCGGGCATCGTATCTTCATTTCAATAGAAAAAGCGTTCCAAGAATGTTTCAGGTCGTTGAAATTCATGCATCTTGCAGCCTAGGAATGTTGGAAAAAGAGCTCCAACAGGTGCTTTTGCATCTTAGGTCAAGTGATCCTAGAGATCCTGTCATTCTTATGCACCCTGGTCTCCTGCTGCCTCTTCGCAGCAAGCCTGGGAGAGAGCGAGTCATGGGTGCGGCAGCCTGGTGAACCACCGGCGAAAACAGGAGCGCCGGATCAATAGCTTCTTGCTACGTTCGTAGCGATGCACCTTGCTACTAGTAGCGTCCGATCGCTCCTAGTAGTAAGGCCAGGAGCCCCTAGTAGCATTCTTGCTCCTAGTAGCGATGCACCTTGCTATGTTCGTAGCGTTCTTGTTACTAGTCATGGCCTCCAACTTAATGGCGATGGCCTGTAGCGTCCTTGCGTCCGCTCGCGATGGGTTGGACTGGGTTTTACTTCCGATCTTTGGCTCTTTCGCCTTCTTTTGACTCACCTGCAGCGTTTGGGCACTACATGAGCCCATGAGCCCACGACTGAGCTGACAAAACAAGTGAAGAAATGAGGTTGCAACAGCTGTTGTCCCAGGACAAAGAGCCAAAAGCTAGGTTTTTGCAGCACAACATCAGAAAAGGTGTCAAATGAAAGTGGGAAGCTCTCACAAGTCTTCTTCCACTGCGACAAACAACCATAAGGATTTCCTTTCAATCTGTGATGGGACCTTACTTCTCGCGATGCTTCGAAGTCCAAAGTCCAAGGAGAATGAGACCTGCAACCGACTGAAGAGTCTCGGTGACCGACTCCGCCAGTCTCGCGGCACCCCTCCGTCTCGATGTCGAGAGGGCGTCGAGAAAGACGAGAAGTCTCGGGTCGCCTTCGCCCAAGTTCCTTTGAGTCCCGAGACATCTCTGCCCTGTAGCAGTGAGATTCTCTCATGGACGCCGCACTTCACTTCTCCCACCTCGGATGGAGAGGCGTCGCGTCTTGAAACGCGGAGTTGCTGCTGATCAAATTCATAAGCACCAACACGTTGTTCACACGACATGTTCACACGACATGTTCACACATGTTGACCTGGATCCAAGAAAAACGGAACACAGTGGATTCCTCGATCCGGCGTTTTCCTTCAGGTGCGCATGGATGAGGAGCGTCCAAGTGGAGGCTTGGAGGACCTTCGACAGAAAGTCCGTGCCATCAGAGGCGCATTGCAGCGGAGCAACACACAGCAGGAGACGGGCGACGTTTAAAAAAACGGACCGACGTGGTTTGAAAAACGACCGACTCCGATGGAGGTTGATTCTGTCATAAATGGATTCTGAAGTAGAAGGATGGAGGTTTGTACAGACTTGGTGGTAGCGATGGTCGCTCCATGATGGACCTTTCAAGTCGTCCTACCATCTTCGACCTTCATACCGAATGCATTCTGCCCCGAACACATGCCAGAACACCGGAGCCTCTAGTAGCGTCCTTGTTCCGGTGTTTTCTCGGTGTTTTGTACTCAGGCAGAGATGCAAACGATGCTGTCGCAAGCCTTGGATCGATGCGAAAGCCTTAAAGTGGAAGCGGCAGATGCCCAAAGGTCCGAGCATCCGAAGCATCGACGAGTCAACCGCGGTGTGTAGTGTGTAGTTCATGTGACTTTTTGGTCTGTTGAGCAACAAAGGCATGGCCGGCATGGCTTTCTGAACAATATTGACAATAAAAGACATGTGAATTCATGTGAC